AGTTCAATGCATGGCCTAACCTTTTCGTAGATACAGATGCTTGAGTACTGCTCACCAAGCACACATGACCCGTCATAGTCACTATAAGCGTGGGTTCCATCCGCTCGAAACAACGCCGGAATGGATGAGTTTGCGTCCTAACGTCGCTAAACATAGACGAAAAACTTCTGGTTGTTCAAGGCAATGTCAACTCGGCCCTTCTCATACGGAAGCCAGACCAACTTAAGATGTAGTTTGCGGTTATTTCAAAACACCCGATGTCTGTCAAAGGTTCTGGTCGACGGAGCTACTCGATACGTTCGCCAACACTTAGGCCGCTTCTTCAACTGGCTCTTCCCCAACGATTATGTCGATCGAGACTGCGCTCTCGGCTCCCTTTTTCGCGTGGGATGTGAACTGCAGAAACATCGACGACGTAAGCCTATAATTTTCCCAGGCTCCCTGAACAGTGTTGGTCACGGTGATCGCACGAGGCGTTGCTTAAGCCCTGTTTCGCATCGCTTTAAATTTCGTTGCCCAAATGTTCGGATGCCAATTGTCAGTAGCCTGGTAATGGCACGCTGAAAAGACATGCACACCTGGTCGCTAGCACCAAGGTGGTTTGAATGGCATTCGCCATGAGTTTAGTTTTTATTTGAAATCGGAAACAAATTGGAAGATCTAACTGACTGCCACAAAGTGATCAGTTTGTTTTCCACCACCTTGCCCTTGACTGACTTGCCGAACAACTTCCCAGTGGTGCCAGCTGGGTGGTTCACATATTATCCATTTCGGCTAATGCTTCGACGGCAGTGTTCCAGGAAATGATGGCTTTACGCTTGGCAAGCGTTCTCCCTATAAAAAGCCACAAGTGTCTACTCAACAACACGACGGGACGGATGTGACTCGTCACTAACTAAAGTCACTGCCCCTTTTCTTCGGAGACAATGTATACCGGCAATTGATCCGAGCGTCGCATTCAACCTTTGACTTCGGAAGTGTTGGCACCCTGGTATGGCTTTTTGTCATCCGAAAGGCGCATGAACTAAATGTTCAGTCACCGGCTCCCAGCGGGTGCGAAACCCTTATTTCATTCTGCTGCCTTGTAGGTTAGGCTCTTCGGACAAGGGCTCGGGAACGTGACCTAAGACAACCCACTTATTTCGGCCTAGGCAACGGGTAGTATCTTGGCTACTGACGAACCATGGAACCACACAACTACACTCAATCCCTTTCGCTCTCAAGAGCCACAGTCCTGTTATTACGCCAATTTTTACAAACACACGCCGCCAATTGACATACTCTTTCCTTGTGTCACCGATCCTCATTGTTACCTGAGTCTTTAAATGTGATCAACCCTACCTCCGCCGATGTAGTTGTTCTCTCGCCACCCATCAACTCAACTACGCAATCCTCGACAGCCAGCTACCGGCCCCGAAGTCTGCTATCTCCGCTACTGTAATTTGGAATGCAGTTCAAACTAGCAACTTTTAACCTACACACATGATTGCGAATCGGACAGTAAGCTGGACTTGCACGCAAGCTGGAGACTCTTGCAATTGTTGTTTGCTGACTTAGTGAAACTAGGCTACTGGATTCTAACACAATCTACCGGCAGTCAGCACCAGTCCAACGACACCCGCTTTTATCTTCACCTTTCTGCTGACGCTTAGTCCGCCGTATCTGGGCATTCTGCTGTTGGAATCGCCCTCATTGCTAGAGCCTAGGCCGCCCTCCATGATTTGACTCCGGTCAACAGTCGCCTGTGCGCTATGCTGCTCCGTGGCTCTTGCGAGGTAAGAAGGCACCGAGCAGGCAAACTTGCTCTTTTTGTGATCGCGTACGCGCCCACTGACTGCAGCTCGGATAAGGACCAGTTCTACCAACATTTTCATGAGTTGCTCCTGAGGACGCCTAAAACATCCTCATTGTGGCAGGAGACTTAAACGTATTTATCGGTCCGCTACTGCTGCCATGTGAACGCCACCTCGGTGGACCGCATGGGTATGATGACGTGCGCTCTGATAACAGAGGAAGACTACTCAGTCTACCAACTTTTCCTCTCCGTTACGCGCTTTCGTCACCCGTACGCCACCTTGCCACCTGGCGTCCACCATCGTCAACGCATTGCTGGTCATCAATTGATCACATAGCCATAAACCGCACGTGGCGTGACAGCGTACGTGGTTGCTGGTCATTCTGCTCAACTTGTTTTGATTTCGATCATGCATTGGTGTATGCGATAGTTTGCCTACGCTTCGGCGGCTCATTGCCACACAAACCTAACGGAACACTCACAAGTTTGAGGACCTAACGGCAAAAACGCAGTGACAACAGAGGCTTCGTGCAAATATAACTCTTTCCCCTGCTCTAGGTGTTGATAAATACTGGTCAAATTTACAACAAGCAGTGCTATCAGCTGACTTGCCCAGCTGCAAACTCACCCGCTGCGCAACCACAAGTTGGGTTTCAGTAAGATCCTCGGAACTGCTATACCGTCAGCGGATTGTGCCCTTTGTTTCGGAGCACAATGAATATCGTCGGTCTATCAACAGCTGAAGTCAAGCCTCCGCTCTGATGGTGAATCCTGGTGGTCAAAACGAGCTGTTGATATGGAAGCCGCTGCATCGGATGGAAACTTCTGTAGTTTCTTTTAACCCATCAAGACCACTGATTGCAATTCACACACTGTTCGTCAAACAATTTGGGCGTCAGCTGGCACGAAAACCACCGTCCAGCATAGGCGATTGGGTCGCTGCGCAGAACACTTTGCTTTCCAATTTAACTGCTCAACACAACTCGCTGTGATACCTCGGGTGGTGCTTGACCTATCGTCACAGACCCTCCTACCAAACAGAGATTTGAAGAACAATCAGATCTTAGAAGCGTCATAAAGCTCCTGGTCCTGACAGTTTACCTCCGTCTATATTCAAAGATGGCGGGAATGCACTTCTCAGCGAAATCCTGTCACTATTCAAGAGGATTTGGATTGACGAGGAAGTCCCAATTGCGTGAGAAGAATCGGCCATTGTTCCGATTCACAAGAAATGCTCCCTCGAGGATTGCATCAATTACCACGGAATCTAGCTAATCTCTGTTGCGTCCAAACCTTTCGTGTCTGTTCTACTTCGCGGGCTTTCAGAGACTAGAGAAAACGTTTTCCGAGAGAAACTAGTGGACTTTCGTACAGGCCGAGGTTGCATTGACCAAATCTTCACACTCCGCCAATTTAACTCCGTCACGTCCACCGATAGCCAACAGTCATAATGTTTTTAGACATCCATGCGGTATTTGGCTCGGTAGATCTGCGTTGTGGAACCGACTACTAAGAAAAGGTGTGCCCGACAAGTTTGTTATCATTCTGAAGGATCCCTGCAGTCACACGCAAGGCAAACCCAGAGCTTGCGACACGCTTTCCATTTCGTTTCCTGTTAGCAGCGGCGTGCGCTAAGATCGTCATCTTTTACCTTTCCTCCTCAGTGTCGCCATAGCAGATATCAGGCAACGAGCATTGGAAGGCTTTCAAAACTGGGGTATTGTGATTCTCCCACATAATAAAGTCACGGACTTGTACTACGCCGATGATATCACTTTGCTTGGGGACGATGCACAAGTCGTCCAGAGCGCTTTGAACAGCTTAGCGATGGAAGTGTCTAAGTATGGCCTGTAATTTACCCCATGCAAGTGTAAAATACCACTCCAGGATTGGTAGATGTCCGTGCCTGCCCACACCATTGCTGGTGACCTTCTGGAACAAGCCCTCTGCTTCACTTATCTAGGGAATTTCATAACTGCTGGCAGCAGTGTTGGAGATATGGTCTCACAACGGATCGCAAAGACCCGCTTTGCATTCATCAGGCTGAGCTACTGATGGCGCCGTTGCGACGTCAGTCTCAAACTCAAGAGCAGGGTATACGTTGCCTCTGTTCGTGCGGTCCTCTTGTACAGTTGTGAGACTTGGCCGACTCGCTCGGAAGACAAAACGGTTGTCAGTTTTTGACAATCGTTGTCTGCGTAGGATTGCTAGCGTGTGGTGGCAGCATCATGTGAGCAACACAGAAGTCTGAGAGAGTGTGTTTGGAGCAAACAGCCCATGCCTCCAAACCGTTGTTCTCCGACGCCGCATGCAAAGGCTCCATCACGTATTGCGCATGTCAGTCTATCGCTTTTCCCGTGGAGTGTTATTTGCGCTCCCCCGAAACGATTGGGAAAAGTGCTGCGGCGGACAACCAATGACGTGGTGGATGAGCATAAAGAAGGCAACCTCGAGCTTAGCATCCGTCGCACCGGTCAGCCTTCCAGGATGGGGATCATATATATATATATATATATATATATATATATATATATATATATATATAATATATATATATATTATATATATATATATATATATATATATATATATATATATATATATGATCAGGCGGGTGCGTACCGTCTACGTGGTTGATGGCCTCGGGATAATTCAAACCAATGGTTGCAGACCGTATCCAACATTGCGCAGTCAAGCAGTCAGTGACGTTCCAGCATTCGGTTTCCTGCATCTGGTTGTTAATTTTCGTTCTTCTGCTTAGTTTAACGCGCTTCTTGCTTCCATTTTTTTACATTTCTCTCACCTTTAAACCCACTATCTTGTCGTCATTTATTGTTATTCTTGCGATGAGTCGCAGCGACTAGATTCACTGCACTTTGGTGCTGGGATCATCGTTGATCAGCTGAATTGAACACATGGCAGAAAGCTGACCTTAATAGTGTTTGCTTTGTGAGCCTCTTTATCCATCACAATCGGGCTTATACTTCATCCACGATCTTTCTGCTGGTGCATCATAGCAAATTGAAGACGATATTGCTTGTTTCTATTCTTTTTACTTGTGTTCCTTTTCCGGATACTTTTGAATTGTATAATCATACAATAGCTGAGGCTTTCCCCAACTCCAGCTAACTATAGAATTCTTACTATTATTCATGAAAATACCTAACCAATGCGATCCTCATTATTTCCAGGATCCGCATGGTCTATGAAGCGTCAGAGGGATTTATTTGGCTTTTTTCAGCCGGTCAGTTTATTTGTTAAATGGGAATCACCAATTCGCATTCAAATTATTATTATTGCTATTTAGCTAACATCTTTGGCACCATTGCGTTTACTTGCTTACTAGACAACTTATCTAATATGAACTATTAAGGTATTTTGCCGCTCATACGCAATATGCTTTGCAATGTATCGGTCTAACTAATTGTTTACAATGCCCATATCCTTCACTCGTCTAATGACAGTTCATTTTGTAGTATTACCATCAACGGAGGTGCCTTTTCCATTGTACTCTTAGCTCTGCCGGCGAGTATCTACGGTTGGTCGTTTTGGCTTCATGTGTCCATACGCGTTGACACACGCCGTATGAAGATAACGTGTCTTTGTATGTATATGGTTGGATACATCCGTTTCCCGGTTTGTCTGTCACTGCTGATTTTCAGGCAATGCGATCCTGCGCTGCCTTGTCACCCTGCACCATCTTGGCCGCAAATGCTATACAGACTGTATGGGAGAAATTCAGGGCATTCCTCTCTGAGGTGTCCTTTCCCCACATTCTGCTTTCATTTGGAAGGAAAGCAAACTCCAAGCCACCCTGGTTCGATCTAACCGCACGTCAACTGCTAAACAGGCGGACCAGTTGTTGGCGGAGTTACATTTCGACTCTGTCAGATGATGCCTTGCGGTGTTATCGAGCGGCACGGAGCAAGTGTAAGCTGCCAAAACACTGCTTAAAGCAATCCAAGCGATTTCGTGCTTACATCAGAAGATGTTGCCGTGCGGATCCATCCATCCCCGTGTTGCACCGACTTGATGGGGTTACTGCGCATACCGATCACGATAAAGCCTGCCTTCTCGGCGAGCAGTATGCGAAAACCTTTACTCTGGTGTCTCCTTTACCAACTACCGATTTATATGAGAAAGTTCCGACAGACTCTTTGTTGACCGATATTACCTTGTCAGAGACCCAGGTGCGTTCGCTGCTGTGAGAACTGAACCGTACCAAAGCCGCTGGTGTTGATGCCATTCATCCAGAATTTTTATATTAACTGGAAAATGAAATTTATGGGCCCGTAGCTTGCCTGTTTGAGAAGTCTCTTACTAGTTTCACCTTACTCACCGAGTGGAAGAAAGCTGTAGTTTGCCCCATCTTTAAAAAAGGAGATGTGCATCTTCCTGTAAACTACAGGTCTGTCAGTCTAACCTGTGTGCTGGTTAAGTTGTTAGGAAAGCTGGTGAGTGATGCCCTCGAAAATCATTTGGGGACGTTTGGGCTTCTCATCCCATCTCAACTTGGTTTTCACAAAGGGTACTCCTGCCTGACCAATTTGATGGTTGCTCTGGAAAGTTGGGCGGAGTCTGTCGATCAGGGTCAATCAGTGCATGTGCTATTCATTGACTTTTCCAAAGCCTTTGACTCTGTCCTGCATACTCGCTTTTCCCTTAAGCTTCGTTCCCATCGAGTTTCCGGACACGCGCTTCGAGGGCTATCCGCATTTCTCGAAGGACGAGAGATGTGTTCGGGTGGGCTCCAGTCTTTCTTTCCGACAGGGATCAGTTCTTGGTCCACAGCTAGTTGCTGTACACGTAAATGAACTACCAGAAATGCTGGGGCTGTCTACCCTCATGTTCGCCGATGACTTGAAGTTTTGGTGCACGGTGATCGACTTCGATGGCCTCCAACTTCTGCAACTGGCTCTTGATAGACTCCTTGATTGGTCTGTTTTGTGGCAGATGCCAATAAACTACAGCAAGTGTTCGGTCTTACGCGTAGGATCATGTGGTAAGACAACGCACTACATGCTTGGCGATAGTGAAATTCCTCATGTATCTCAACAAATTGACTTGGGGATCACTTTTTCTCAGAACTTTAACTCCAGCGAGAACTGGAAGACAGCGTCTTGCAGGGGTTTTCGAACCCTCTAGATGATCCGTAGATCCTTTGCGATCCTAACGGAAGAAATCTTTGTTAACTTGTTGACAACCTTTGTTAGACCGCATCTGGAGTATTGCGTTTAGGCTTGTCCTCCTTGCCTGACTCGTGACAGGATGACTGTAAAGCGAGTCTTGAGAATCGAACCAAAATAGTCCACGCGTTGCGGCACCTGTCCCATCCTGACAGGTTGCTCAAGCTAAGGATGTTTTCGTTACATTATCGTCGTCACGAAGACGACCTGATTCTCACTTCTCTTATAATGACAGGGCGGATTGGTCCAGACCTTTCTTGACTTTTTATCCTACACAGTTACCTACTGTCCGCGGGCATCCGATGGAATTGCACGAACTCAGATCTGATCGGGTTCGGGCTGACTCGTTTGTCTCGCCGAATGATAGATTCTTGGAACGCGCTACCCGAGGGTGGTGTCTTGTCATCCATGGTGACAGCGTTTAAATGTCATCTGGACGCGCTCACCTTGCAGCTCCGAATCTTCCTCCTCTCCTTTTAATTTATTTTCTGTTTGATTCCCAGCTATCTTCATTTTTATTCACCCTTACTAACTTCATTGCCTTCTTTCGTACCCTTCCGCTTTGTATTTAGCATACAATTTCCTTTCCTTTTTATTTCATGCGGCCGACGCAGCGGGGACTAGCGCGGAGCATGTGGGTTTTGTTTGGTCGACCATGATTTGATTTGTACGTGCTGATTTGGCTCCCACAACTGACCGATCTTGCCAATGCATTCTAACGTAGATCAACAACGCATACAGGATGGAACGACCATGGGAATTTCCTTTTGTTCCTGTCCCATCTTAATTTGCGACTGCGAACAGGTACAACATGCGTGCGCCTACAGGAGACCATACTGGCTTGTGCTGCACCACTTACAGCTACATATTTATCTGTGAATTTGAAGTTGGTAGACTGGGAAGCATATAGATAGGTGCTACGATGGATTCGGAGCTGGCCAACCCTCTCTGAACACAAGTGCCATGCGAAATGGGGGAAACACGCGGTGTTCGAGCCGTAACCCATTCCATATCACATGGAACTACTCTTTAAGTCGGCCGATGGCCGAGTGGTCTGCACGCCTGGTTTGCAACCATAAGGTAGCCGGTTCGAATCAGCGTAGGGGTGGGCGTCCTCGCGGTATATTCAGCCCGCGCGCGACTGATGGTGGTCGCGCGGCAGCGAGGCGCCGTCACGGCGTACAGCTGACACATCATCATCATCATCATCATCATCATCATCATCAGAACTGTCACGGAAATTGTGCACCCCACTTCTCTCAACTGAGATTAACAGTCGCCTGAAGCCAGTACTCGAGGTAGCGGTTTCCGACAGGTAAGAACCCTGTCAATCTTCGTATCAAGTGTACCCATCGGCGCCTGTCGCTTCCGCAATTGCCTCTTCTTGAATTGTTTGTGAATTCCACTAGCTCGGGATGTGGATGTGGGTATTGCACTGCTCTCCGAGCTGAACGATTATTTTGCAGACGTTTCGCTGCCAGAGTGGGCAACATCTTCAGTGCATCCATGTGCATCCTAACTACAGCAACGATGCAGCACACGTCTCAGATACATTGCATTATTGGCCTGGGTTAGTAAATTGGACCGGAAGCAGCGTAGTCACGCCGCACGGACAACTGATCTCCGTCCCTTAGGTAGTGTTCGTTTGTTATCACGTCAATGACTTACCAGAGTAACTCGGCTGAAACACACTATTGCAGGCGTCACAGCATTAGGTGCATGATATCCATGGACTTGGGTTTGTTGGCACCTGGTGTTTCCTAAATCAGCGTTTTTTCCTCATACAATAGTCCATTCTCATGCACTTGGGCAATGGCAATCGTGATGTGATCACGACATTGGCTTCGCGCCACTGATTCCTAACGTATACGTCAACTTCAGTTCTTCATAAACTCGCTCCAAAACCCGACAACCACTTCGGTCATGTCCAGATAGCGCACCGACTCGTAGCCGAAAGGGCAAGGCGTCTGCCTTTCAAACGGGATGTCGCGAGTTCCAGTCTGCGTAGTGCGCCCGGCGATTCTCGCAGTACCCTTTGCGCACGCACGACTAGTGGTGACTGCGTGGCAGCGAACTCTCAGTACGGCGTCCTGTTAATGCCCAATAGGACAGCTTCAGTTTGTCCACATTTTACTTACATGTACTCAGTTATCAATATGGCAGTTGTTTTGGTAGCTGGGTCACTTCCATACGGCGGACATGTCCGAATCATTTGTGGTATCGCAGTAGCAACCTTTGATTTCGTACCTCCCGCTCCAACGAAGCACTTCTGTGACAGGCACTTTGTCTTGTCAACCGATGCGCGGAATCCGAATCAGGTTTCGTTAGTAGGAGCACTCCAGCTGCTGAACGTCGTTCATGTAGTGCCCACGTCTCGTTACCATAGTGAGCAACAAAAAGGACCGACGGTTCGCACAGCAGCAGATTGACCCCAGCGGTCATCTAATGATTTTTCCACGCAGGATATGCTAGTTTGGTGAAGGCCACACTCGCTTCCCATACACGGGTGCGCAGCTCGCAGGTCAACGCAACTTACTTGGGCTTACTTTATACTTTGGGGCGTATCTTCACAATGCAAACTTGAGGTTGCGGACAGCGCTCACCCTCGATAACCAAATTTCTATGACTTCTGTAAAGTTTCATCGGCAATCTCCATTTGCGTGCAGCACATGGACTCGACTTTTGGTTATGACTGAACTAGACATACAGCCTTTCGATATGGGAACAGCTTCGTTTAAGCCGCCTCATTTCTCCATTTCTTTTGTATCTTCCCTTCATTAATACTAAAAAGCGAGCATTTAGCGGTGCCGACTAATTCTTGCAATGCGGTCGCACAGTCGCGTGTGGCCATCGTTAATGTCGGATTAATTTCGTTACAGCATGATCTGGTTACCGCTAACCTAGACACTCGATTCACATGACTGTCTCTGTGATGCGCCCTCAGCCAGTGTTCCGTGTCACCTCTACTGACTGCGAATGTACGCATGTGTTTGTGTATGTGTCTGTCAATACGTGTGTTTCATCCTTCCTCTCATTGCGTTCATTGGCCAAGTCCCTCACTGTCTGATCGAACACGACTCAGCACTCACGTTACTTACTTGTTTGCTTCTATACGTTTCCTGTAAGCACCGTTGCTTACGATATACTTTCCTTGCCCCGTCATTCTTCTGATTCATTTGGGTGTAACACTCAGTCTATTTTTTATTAAACTCATGGTGGTCCATGATTCATGGGAAGTCGACACCAGGTACCAATGGGAGTGTTACAGGCGAGTGATGTCCATCGTTTGAGATTCATTTAATTTAATCAACTGTGATCGATTTATCAAACTGCTGTGAATCCAGACAAGCACGATTCGTGTCACCATGACGACAATGCTTCCTAGTGATGTATGCATACAAAAGAGTCAAGCCAAACACAAGTTTATCGAAAGTAAGGCGTTGGGAAAAGCTGCCTTCTGGATATGCGTTCTCCCTCCTTTTGTCCTTTCAGTGATGTACACCACCTTAGACCACTGCCTAGGACTTCGTTTATTATTGCTGAATTCGAGTTCACACGTATGAGCGCTCTTACGGTAACGCAGATTGTCATAAGAGGTTCGCAGTTAGACCATTGTTTATCTATTCCTCCCTCTTATGTTTGTTTCTTTCTGCTCTGATACCCCCATTTGACTGCCTTTCTAACCAAGCTCTCTATCTTGTATCCTACAGGTCGCGAAGGTTTTACAGCAGGAGGATGCCGCCGTTGCTTCGGAGAAGTGTTCCACACCGACGGAAAGCAAAGTAATTCGAATTGAAGCTTTCTTCAGTTCGATTTTCGATTTAATAGCGCATTTGCGCAAAGTATTTTCTACCCTTTATTTATAAATCGTAGGAAGACCTTAGATCGGTTTATGATTTTGGAGCCAAACTCCGCGAGCAGCGACTGATCCAACAATGTCATCACTACTTCCAATCCTCTCATATAGTAACCACTACCCTGCATGCGTTGCTGTGATTCATCAACGACATCATTGTTTAACAATGGGACTCTTGAATTGCTAATCGCCTCCTTAGTGATGCCCCCATTGTGGCTGTACTCGTTCTGACGTCTGTCGGGAGTTTCGAATCTCATACTTGATGACGGACTGTACCAGTGGTCTTGCTTTTAGTGTTAGCAAATTTGAAGCAAATGATATGTGAGTGGAATTCCATATCCAATCTCATTTTGGGTTGCGACTGATGGTGAAGGGGACCTCGGTTATGCGAGTATTGGGATTTCATCTGAAACAAGCGCCATTACTTCCTAACACCTAAGATCAACCTCGTTTCTTGATTAACTCACCTTCAGATTTTCAACACTCCGCCTGCCTATACTCAGTTGGCCACCACGGGGACAGCCACAGGACGCCTGTGCCTACAGAGGGACCATGGGTGGCTTGCGCTGTGCCACCCCCAGCTCCATCCACACACTCCATTTCAAGTGTAAACCCAAGGAATAAGACCGGGATGAATTTGGATAGGAGCCAAGTTTTGTCAACGGAGCCGGCCCACACTCCTTCACAGGCAATCACAAGCACATTATAGTTGGGTAAGCAAGCGCACACAAGGCTATGGGTGGACCGTAGTCCGCTGCACACACAAACCTTGTGCATGGAACTACTCTTCGAGCCTAGCACGGCCGCGAGGACCGTGCACCCCGTCCCCTCCAGCAACGACCAACTGTCTCCTGGAGCCAGTATAGACGAGGTAGTGGGTAATTGACAGGTAGGCACCATGTCAACATTCACATCAAGCGCAGCCATACCGGGAATATCAAGCAACAACCAATCACGTAAACTGAAATGTCGAATAAAATAGATCGCATACACCGTACGAATATGCCATTAAATTAGAATATAAGTGGATGATCGAAGTAGCCGTGTTATATTTATGATGGCAGAAAAAGGGATCAAGACACATGTATGGAGAAAAAATAAGCGAAGTTAACCACATTTAGTTTAAGCGAAATACGCCATTTAATAGCTTACTCAGATATACATTACATTGAGGTAGCAAAATAACACTACGACAAGGTGGCAAACCAACAACCTGAAAAAAAGTAACTCAGTACGCGGCTAGTAACTCGAATGCAGCGTACCTACCAACGCTGCGCCGGTTCTGCTTACGTTCTCAGCAGGACTCGTCGTTCGGGTGCTGGTCTCGAGTGGCCTCGCTCATGGCTCACTAAACGTGCCTGACTCAGGCACTCGTGACCGCATGTGCTACAGCACCATGCGCTCGACGTCGATGGAGTACAGCCCATCAGCGCCCTTCGCTTTCACAATTGCCTCTTCTTGAAATGGTTGTGAATTTCACTAGCTCGGGATGTGGATGTGGGTATTGCACTGCTCTCCGAGCTGAACGACTATTTTGCAGACGTTTCGCTGCGAGAGTGGGTAACATCCTCAGTGTGGCTTTCAGGTCCTGTTTCGCAAAGCCTTCCAAGCGACTTTGAGATTTGTATGCTTATGTATCGAGTTCTGCTTTGAATACCAGGCCTCCGTAAACACGTGCTTGCCTGTTTGTGACTCTTCCGAGTATTTAGGGGTGTTCTAGCTCGAACTGTTGACCGGCATCCATATGCACGGACATCAAAGAGTTCTGATCGTGGCAGCTGATTGCTAGGTTATGTTCATGTAGTCGTGTGCCAAGCTTCCTTCCTGTTTGTCCTATGTAGTATTTATCACAGTCCCGGCGGCATGTCTTGTAGATTACACCAGATGTCCAAGTTTGAACTGTTTATTTCCAATTGCCTCTGTTGGTTGGTGGGCAATTTCGACTCTCAAGGGTAACAGAACTCTCGCTGCCATTTCAGAGATTCCATTAACGTAAGGCAACACTGCTCATTTTTGAGCCGTTGCATTTGTTAAGGAGCGTTGTGTTGCCTTATTTGGGACCAAGCAGCGCAGAATGAAGCCTTTTTTGGTACGAATCCCGTTTGAGCAGGCTGAAAAGATGGTTTCCCTCTGCCTGTCTCAGCTGCTGCGTACCACAATGCGTCCGCGCTCGTTTGAAAAGTGTTAGCACGCAGCTGCATTTGTGGACTGCCGGATGATTTTTTCTAGCTGAGGATCTGGTCTGTTTGTGTTGATTTTCGATAGACCATGGTTTCCAGTGATCCCGGAACAGTCCTGCGTATGAGAACGTCTGGAAATGGCAGCTGCCTGTTGTTTTCCTCTTCCTTCTTGAATTTGATGCCGCTTCTTCTCTGCATGCACAAGGGCTTTTTTTGCGCCTCGGCAACTGCCTTCGTGATTAGGTCGCGCCATTCACGCCGCTCAACCGTCTTCGATTCCCGTGACCTGTAATCAGCATCAACGTGAACGTGATGTCCTTTCCCGCGTGCTATTTCCCTGCACTCAGTTGGCCATAAAGTAGCTGTTTCGGTATCCGGGCCGAGCCACCTCAGGTGGCTCAGCAGAATTATGCAGTCCACTGCGTCGGAACACCTCCGTGTCTGCAACTCGGTCATTCCAGCCGATGCTCATAATACGGCGTAGACGCTGCTGATGGAAGCGCTCCAGATATCGGATATCCGATAAAGTGTCCAGGTTTCGCTGCTGTATGGAAGAACGGAGAGCACCATAGACTTATATACCAGCAGCTTCGTCCCAATAGTGAGCTGGTGGTTGTTCCACACACGGCATTCCAATTTGCCAAAAGCAGCAGCAGCCTTCGATTCGCGGCTGCGCAGCTCGCACGTCATCTGTTAGTCGGTTATTACGTTATCAAGGTAGCGAAATCTCGAAGTAGTTTCCAACACTTCGTCGGCAATCTGGATTTCGGGCAGGCGCACGTACTCCATTCCCGTTGATGACTGGAAAAGACAAACAGTCTTGCTTGTGTTGATGGTGAGCCCGAATTTAGCCGCTGTCGAAGCCAGAGCACTAGTCATATGCTGCAACTCATCTGCGCTGTGTGAAAATAACGCACAGTCGTCAGCAAACAGCAACAGACGGATATTTGGCTCACAGCACCGAAACGACAGGTGTTCAGTAACCCATCATCAATACGGTGCTCCACACGAACACTGCAAGCACAAGCGGCATCAAAAGCACAGGACAACATTGCATGAAGATAGATATTAAACAAGGCAGGAGCTAAGACACAACCTTGCTTCACACCAGAGACAACCATATAGTCATCCGATGTCTTTCCAAACAGCTGCACCCTCGCCCGCAAAACTTACGCGGACAACCAAACTTACACCAGCTACAATGCGTCGCGGTTCACCGTATCAAATGCTTTGCTGGAATCAACAAAAAGCGAGTACAACGGCTGGGGTCGTTCTCAGCACTTCTCCTGCAACTGGCGAGCCGCAAACATCATATCTATGGTGCTGCGACCCGAACAATCCACATGACTCTTCAACCACGTTCGGTTCCACAACCTGACTGACGAGGTGGTTGAGCAGGACTCGGGCAATCACCTTTCCCACGAAATTCAGCAAGTTGATGCCTCGATAATTCGTGGCACATTGGTTGCTTCCTTTGCCCTTGTACAGTGGTAGCACGAGAGCATCCTTCAGCTCAGGAGGCACCTCCTCAATCCATACACGTTGCACCAAGTGGTGCAGCGCAGTCAACAACGCGGGTCCGCCGTGTTTCAATAGTTCAGGCGGGATCCCGTCGGCACCGTCACATTTGACGCTTCGCAGCTGAGCAAGTGCTCTCTGCGTCTCATCCAGTGTTGGCATATCCGCCAACCTCACCTCTTGCTCCTTTAGGCCGTTCAAGGTAGGCCAGTCAATCTCTGAACGGTTGTTCAAGAGACAGTCAATGTTTTTGCCAGATGTGCATTATGTGTGCGATCTGTGTGCAGGTAGCGGCTCAACTACCATCGATCAGCGTTCTCAGCGGCTCCAACCTCGGTCCATACACCGCCTTCAAGAAGTCAACGAATTCCTTGTGTTGGCTGCGTTCGGCGTAGCATACCATCTGCTACGCCCTCCCCGTCCACCATGTATTTTTAAAGCGACAGAGCTCTCGCATCCGTCGCTGTGGAATTATGCGAAGCTAACTATTCTTCCACAAGTCACTGGGGTTTGCCACATTTGCAGCAAATGCTGCATTCTTCTCAGCAGCGAAATATTTGCAACGGTGTGAAAATCAGCAAGCGCAAGCATTTCGAAGAGCAGCTTACAACCGCAGCAACAGCTGTCCTGAGGCCGATAAGTAACCTACCAATGATAGAGGACGAGAACGGACAGTCTCTAACCTTTTGCACTGAGCGTGCTTCCGTATTGCCGACGCACTTTGCTTCTGTGTTTGCAGATGAGCAGGTGACTTTACCGAGTTCCGCGTGCACCACCCTTACCGAACTCGACAGTCTGAATTGTAATGTGGAAGAGGTGCATCAGCTCATCGACAATCTTGACGGCACCAAGACTGCTGGCCCTGACGGGCTCCACCCCCTGATTCTCAAATTCTTACCAGCTTTACTCTCGCCTGCCGTAATTGACCTGTTCAAGTGGTCTCTGTCCGAAGATACATTGCCGATTGATTGGGAATGCTCTGTAATAAGACAGATTCAGGAGGGCGGTGACCCCAGCAAGGTAGACCAATTTGTTTGACACTTATTCTGGCCAAGGTTGCAGAGAAGATTGTGAAGACACGTTTGTTACAGCTGCTCCGGTCAAAAGATCTGACGCCCGTACAGCACGCTTTCACGCCAGGTCGTTCATACATGTGTTCCTTGATTTCAAGACTGCGTTCGATTCAGTCGATCGATGCATTCTGTCCAAAATACTTGCTCGGAAAGGT